CAAACACCAGGGTGAATATTGCTTGAAAAGCCTTTGAATTGTGGAAACAGCTTAAAGGAAGGAAGGGGACTCCAACAGAAATGGAAAGTTACAGACCAATTGATGATGAACCACTTTGACATACTGGATAGACATAAACACTGCAAATGACATAAACCAAATGAATCTCAACAAACAAGTGTCATCACTGCCACCTTGGCACAAGAATAATAAAAAAAAGTTGCCGAAAATTACATCCCGTACAGATGAGTTACCTCTGAGCAGAAAAACAACATCTAATCAGAGCAGTCACACGGCACATTCCTGATCATGACACACACCGTAACTCAGGCTGAGGTCTGACCCCACCTGAGCCTGGATATCTGTCTCAACAGCACAATCACACTGGAATGAGAACCAATAACAGCCTATTACCCTCTATATCCCTCCAGCACACACACACACACACACACACACACACACACACACACACACACACACGTGCGCACGGACTCACATGCACACGCACACACTTTACATCAGTAAGAATGAAAGAGAACAATAAAATCTCCGGATATGAAAAGCTCCTGAGGCAACTATGCATAAAGAAGCACAAGATGCTTCCTCCTTGTGTGTGTGTGTGTGTGTGTGTGTGTGTGTGTGTGTGCGTGCATGTGTCTCTCTGTGAGTGCTCTGGAGACATCTGAAAAGAAAAAGATGCCAAGATGCCATAAATCTCCTCTCCCTGAGTTGTATGAAGAATTTTGATTGTGTGTCTGTGTCTCGAGGCCCAGGGCACAGTTCAGCATGTGTCTGTAAAACTGAAACAAGCTAATGTTCACTCCAGTAGTGTACAGGTACTACCGCTGTTATCCATTTTGTAACTTTATACAGCTTTAGATTTATCTGACAGCTGTAGTAACTAACAGATAAAAATATCCTCTTAGACACAACCCGTTTTTGAATCTAATTTGCATCGATCTCAATATGTAAATGTAATAAGCTTATAACAGACGAACTCTTTTTCCTCAGCTCGTGAAAAGTTAACATCTTGGCAGGACACTGACAATTTGAGAAACTCAACAGCAAGGTGGTTTCTATAAAGAAGCTATATCCTGGTTGTGTCCTGAATAATTCAGAGTCTGTGGTTTTTATAACTACATGTAGAAAATATTTAGACTCAACTTCTTTTCAGTATTAAGTCGGATAATTATTTAGTACAGTTTGTGCTGCAGGACTGATGCTGTTACTCCAGCAAGGGAGTTGTGCACTTTCTCTTCCACTGAATTTTACATAAATAATGAGCATGAAGTTGCAGTTCAGAGGTCACGAAACACCATCATTCAGTTCTCTACGAAGACATTTTCCCATGAGCGCCTTCTGTATTTTTTTTTTTTTTTTTGCAATTTAAGAGAGGAAAGAAAGTTAGAAGAAGAAGCTGTGGAAAAAACAGATGACTCCGGTCCCCTGCTTTGAATCTCTCGGACAGCTCTGACATGTGCTCTGCAGTTTTTCAGCTCGCCTGCATTTATTTTTAGATGCATATGCTAAGAAAATGTCGGGAAACAGGACTCCTGCCACTGTACTGTTGACTCTACCTCCCATCCTGCTTCATTTGATACTTCATTCAGACACTGTAATGGTATAAAAAGGAAGGTCTTATAGAATGACACTGGGCCGCTATAGAAACACCTGTTGTTTGAACGTCTGGGTTATTGTAATGATTTGAACCATGACTGAGGGTGTTTATGCAGCGACCAGCAGCACATTTCTCCTGTCAGTGTAGACGAACCCTGAAACTCCCACTGAGCTTTACGTTGTTGTTGTTTTCACTGAAAAAAATAGTTTGTCACTTTAAAGGATTTTTTTCAAGCCTATCTTAATGCATTATTCACATGTCCATATGTGCCTTGAAAAAGTTATTGGTCACTGTAATCATTCCTCCTGTCCTTGCTGGCTGTGAATTGATGACTCCATAGTGTGTATACAGTGTAAAAGATACAAAACAAAAGTTCACAGTCTTCGATTCCTCATTCTGAGGAGTGTACACTTTGCGATAGCTGCGACCTTGTCACGGTGCTTGAGCTGGATCTAGTAAAATCTTGCCTGCAATCCACGTCAGACAGTATGGCTTCAGTTTTTCATGCTGGAGAATCATCAGAAGTAAAGGTCTGGAGAATCATTGCTCTGTGATGCATAAATTTTTGCAAGTAGAGACACGTCATCAGCCCACATCATCCATCTGCACCACTGTCATGTTTTGAAAATGCAGCAAAACAGAAACAACATGTTTTGGCCTTAACCATAAGAGAGTTCTTATAACAGCACTGGGAGTGATATTTTTTAACTTGTGTGGTGTGCGGTTTACGGTTGTGCTTACAACACTGCATCGGCCTCTGTATTCTGCATCACTTCATGTCATATTCTGATTGGTAGATTTGTATGTGTGGGCTGTAGCAGCAGCGTGTGGCATATACTGGTCTGGCTGGTTTAAGGCGTCAGTACGCTTCAACTGAAGTTCAGAAACCATCTTCCCTGATGCGTTTTCGATGTGGGAATTAGGACCGAACCCTCTGTCCATTTCTGTAACTTCGTGAAAGACACGTTAAAACAATCACACCCATTCTACACTGTGCTTGGCCAGAATGGGAAAAAGTAATTTTTCACACAGTTGTCTCAAAGATTGTCCAAAAGAGCGCACTATTATCTTCATATTTAAACTAGTGTGTCCAACTTGGATAACCCTGCGTTTTTTTTTTCCCCACTGTGTCAAAGCCAAGGCTGCATTGAAATAAATGCCAAGGACATATTGTTAAAGTGAAGCTGCAGTGGGAAGAGATCACCTCACAGGGATTGTTACAGCGACCATTAACTTTGATAATGTACATATGGGACAGATTTGATAAAAATCTGAACTCCCAGTAACCTTTAATAGTTTTTCTTGGCCTGTGCAATAACTTGTTGTCCTACTGATGAATGCAATTTCAGATTAATAGCACATGCAAAAACGATCAATGAACAAATAGTGAGAGAGTGGAATAGAGAGAAAGAGAGCAGATTCTTCTTCTGTCTCTCTTTCATGAATGTGAGAGTCTGCTGATTTAGTACACCTATGCACCACACAGCACAAATGTGTGTGTGTGTGTGTGTATGTATGTGTGATTCATTCTGGTTTTGTCACACTGAGGAAGTGACACAGCTGTTAAGGTCAGCGGCATACAGAGAGACGGGGAGAGAGCGGGTCGTTGTCATGGCGCCCAGCTAAACAATGGAGTGAGGAGACACAGTTTAGACCCTTGAGGAGAAATCACCTCATACTCTACACACACACACACACACACACATACACACACATAACCTGTTGAACAATACACCCTTCAATAATGAGACACACACATTGGACAAATTCACACCTGACAGCTGACACCCAAAACTCACCCGGCGCTCTCACTCCATCTAACTCAGAGTCTTTCTTGGTGAAACGCACAAATCACACCACATGCTCACACACCGCTGACACCCCCCTTCTCTCCTTCTCGCTCGCCATTACTTTCATAACAACATTTATAATCATCTACATGACAATCTGTGTGGGGCTCTATAGTGAGGCTCGGGGGTGACAGGGGTTAGCGCTGAAGGGAAGCAGTGCATGCTGGGATTGCGGCCTGCTGAGAGAGTGGCATTCTGGGAGGCGGTGTCCTGCGGGCAGGGCCTCTGGGGGATGCAGTATGGTTAATAGGCCTTTCATGGTCGGCCCACAAAGCCTTTTGTCCCGGGCTAATTCATCCTGCCCAGCGTGGAGAGATGGAGAGGGGAGGGGGGGGAGGGGCACCATGGAAGGTTTTTTGGGGTTGGGAGTCCCCATTTTTTCTCCTCTCTTTCTACTCTGGAGTGTAGTGCAGGGTGGCGCTAGTGTGAGGGAGCCACATACAAACAGAGCCCTGCTTGGTAGCAACAACACCAAAACATTGGCAGAGCTTGCAAAGTGCTGGCAAAGTGCAGCACAACACTGGAAAACACCCACGATTAATGACTCCTTAAAAACATCTTGAAGCGGGAATATCCTGCTGGGTGTGACGTTCAGAGTCAGGGATGTGGATATTCTAATGTGGAGAGGCTTTTTGATGAATTGGAAATAGCTGAAAAAAGTCCAAAATGCACCAACTATAGGCGTGTGCACGCAGACACAATATCTCACCTGAACAAGAGCTACAGGTGTCATAAAATGCCACAGCTTGTGAGTGAATGACGCCCCGCCGGGTTGCAATAACGCCTCAGGTACATCATGGTGGGAGTTCCTGCATTCACAGAGGCGAGATGCAGCCGGCTTCCCACCAACAGACCCCCCTATCAAACCCTGTGATCTGGGAATAGTCAGATATTAATGAACTGCACAGGAGCGGCTCCCCTCCTTTCAAAGTGTGCTGATTGAAGTGGAGAAGAGAATTCCTGAGCCGAGCACCAGGGGGGTTCGAGCTGTGATCACTCTGGTATGAGAGTGTGTGTGTGTGTGTGTGTGTGTGTGTGTGAGTGAGTGTGTGCTGCACAGTCCTGACTGGGCCCGGCCCGTCCACAACGACACAACACAGCACAGCACTGCACAGCTGCACTGGAGAGCCTGCAGGCCTCAATGGATGGGGGTCAATACAAACTCTGTGGGGACCAAAGCATACCAAATCAGGGGGAACAGAGCAGGAGGAGGGGGAGGGGGCGCACTTTTCTCCTCCGGGACACCGTAGTTTCGAGAAAATTAAGGTTTTATGAGTATTTTCTTCATATATATACCTGTGTGTACATTATAAATACTGGTCCAGGGGCTAGTTTTACTCACAACCTCTGGAAAGTCCTCAGCAGTTGTGTGTAGGGATCTGTAGTCTGGAGAAACGGCGGCGCAACACCAAGCTCTGGGGTTTAGGGAGCCAGTCCCTATTGTTCAGATCCCTCCTCCTGCTTGGGAAGTGGGAGGACCCGAAAAGGCGTCGCAAAAGGGAGAATTGTTTGAGAGCTCAGTCATCCAAAAACGGCCTTTCAATGTGAGAACTTGGGGAGCCGAAGAAAATGTCGGTGGCATCGCAGTAAATTACTAAAGCAGCGAGGCTTTAGAGGGAAAAGAGAAGTAAAAAGTGTTGTTTTTTTGGGACTTAAACTCACCATAGAGGAGAGGCGAAGAGGAGATCGGTGGCTTAAAACGAGGTGTGAGCACCAAATAGAGCAGTTTGGGTAAGTTTTATTCCTTCATGCGGTTCGTGTTGTTGCCGTGTTACCCTGAGTATCAACATGTGTAGTAAAATTATACATACATGTATCGGTTTGTGTGCGTGTTTGCGGACAGACAGAAGTCTTCACCAACTCCTGCGGTACTTAATGTATAGAGAAAGTTGTGATTTTTGGAGTTAGACTTCTACTTCACGCTGGCGACTACTTTGATAGCCACATTTGTTTTGTTTTTTTTCATCCAATTGATGCACATAAACTTCGTTGTAAACCTTCTGTATCACAGATCACCTTCTATCGGATGGCAGTGTGTGTTCTCACTCCCGGTTTTACAGATACTTTTAGTAAGAAAAGTTAACTTTACCATCGGACTTAGCCTGTTGTTGATTGGACGAGCTCTGCGTCCGTATTTCCCAAACCCTTTCTTAATTTTTCTGCTTTTATCCGACGTCTAGTACGACACGATACATGTATGTGGGTAAGAATCAACAGTGTGTGGCACGCTGCGGAGATTCACAGCCGTGTTTCTATTCATACGTGTGCGTTTTGGGGGAAAATGTGTTTGAGTTTTGCAGGCCGCAGCCTATAGTCGCTCCCATAGGGTAACAGAAAACAGACACGGCGAGCTGTGCCAGATTTACCCCCATATTATCATCGTGGAGGGCAACAGTGTAGTGGGGAAATGTAAAGGTGTCCTCCAGGCAGTGACTGGTGTAAGGAAAGACACCAAAGTCCAGGATGTGTAAAGGAAAGCATCATGTTTTCAAGCCTGTTTTTATTTGAGAAATCAGTTTAAGGATGCTCATCGTGAATTTACATCTTATTTTACTTGTAAGTGAAAGATCCACGTTACTTCATGTAATTTCTTTACCATCCTGTTCATGACATGTGCAGGTTTTTTACTGTTGACATGGAACAAACCATAACAACGCTACCTGGGCGCATTTCTACAGTCTCAGTCCCCCTCACCCCCCGAACCGAAGCCCTGTTAGAATAACCTAATTAAAGCCTCCAATAAAGTGACAGCTGCCGAGTGCAGCCGTACAGGAATGCAGCATCCTGCCTCCCTGTCAGGAGAGTCTCTCCTCATATCATCCCCTCATTCAGGTCTGATTTAATGAGAAAATGTTTGTCTTAATCCCCGGGCTGCTAATGAGTGTTGGCCAGGGTGTCACTCACCGTGGGGGCCCGGTGGAGAGACAGAAGAAGGGGGGGGGGGGGGGGTGATACATGGACACGGAGAAGGAGGCTGCGGGAACAGCCGCAGGGGCTCAAGTTTCCAACCCCAGGTGTCGTTTTGTTATTTGGATTACATTTAGCCTTCGGTGCCTCGCACGGAGGAACCGCGGCGATTCAGTGACAGACATGGCATCAGACAAGAGGGCCCGATTGTTCCCGCTGAATCAATGTCACTTGGATTAAAAGTCGAAAGGAATGGCCTAGCCTCCTCCAATTAGGCGCACAGCCTATAAGGGAATTAATTGGTCTCAGTAAAAAGGAGCCTCTTGTTGGTTTGGTTGTTGTTGTTGATCATCTCTGGCAGTCGGGTGGATCAAAGTTGAACTAATTGATTCCAGTCTGATTATCTGCCTGTTTCTCACACTGCTTTTGCCCTTTTGATTCCTCATGTGGTGAATGGGAAAAACTCAATTGTACGAGTTCATCGTCAATTTTACAGGACGCTGTGTATTTATGACAGCATAAGATACAGTGGGGTCCAACACAGTGAGACTACTTTCCCACTGTATCAGGTCAAATCATATAGGAAGAGTATATGAGTTTTTTTTCTTTCATATAAAGTCATAAAATCATACAAAGCAGAATCAGTTCATAGCTGCATATCTCAGACACACTTCAAGTCCCTCTAGAAGAATTATAATACCATGATTGTATCAATGCAGGATGTGAAAATGAATGAAAAGCTTTCAGGCTGCATCCCATTGCCAAAACATCAGTTATTGTCTGGAAGTGCAGAAGTTGTACCGTTCATAGTCCTTTAAACCAAAGCTGGAACATTAGTCAATAATCCAACTCTTTTGAATTTGTAAAGTAGCCTAACTGTAATATGTAAGCATTTGCTGCTTTTTGTCATATGTGGTTGCAAAACTGAATATCTTTTTGTTTTGGACTGTTGCTTGGACCAAACAATCGTTTTTGTGTGTCTTCCATGGGCTCTCAAAAACTGTAATTGGCATTTCCACAATTTTCTTAGATGATAAAAAGGTGATCATCAGACTAACTGCTGATGAAAATCATCGTTAGTTGCAGTTGGACTACAACAAAGTAGACACAATCCATTCCTGAATACCACAGGCACGCATCAGGTCCCTATAGCAGTCTTATAATATCTATATGTTTAATACATGTTTGTTTGTTTTTTTATCTATGCAGGCCGTTATGATGAAAGAAATGCTTACAGACTGAAGTCACAGGCCAAAATGGCTGGTAACTGCAAGTAGAGAAAAATGTGTTTGAAAGTCCTTGGCTGTTGGGGCTGAAAATGTGCATGCCTTTGGGCAAAAGAGACCTGTAGGTTCAGGATGGGAAAACTAACTCGGTTATAGAGTCTGATGTGATTGTTACCAGGTAGACCTTTTCAGTAAAGCCTGAACTTGATATTATATTTGATTGATCTTGGTTACCTGCCAAACAGACATGTAGTGGAGACAAAAGCTGCTAGTTTTCCACTTATTTGGCCTGAATCTGGTGGATAGTTTTTCATCCTTGCTATAGGAGCCGAGTTTTCATATGTGTTCTGCCTTGTAAAGAAAAGTTACTGTGTGGATTTAGGTATGCAGCCAATAGCAATAGACTTTCTTGCTCATATCTTAGTTTGGTTCAGACTTTACTTTTTTCACATTGAAGAATGAATGTAAGATATGAGTGGAAGGATAGGATTTAACTTGTTTGACTCTTGCCTGGTGTGTTTTTACGTCTGGATGTAAATCAAAGTCTTCAGTAGGAGATGGATTTCAAGATGCATTTTGAGATTACAAACAGCCGGTGGGTCCGTGAGGACTGCTGTTGCCGCCTCGATTTCGTGTTTGTGAGCCAAATGTTCCCGAGGTTTGAATGTGGTGCTGGAAAGCAGCATTGTTATTGTAGAGGGTGTAGCATTGGTGTAAATTGACAAAGGAGGAAAAAAATCCTTCCTGAGGGCACGCTTTCATCTCTATGACAGCGGGTACACTCATGCAGTCATAACAGCCTGCAGGCAGAATCTGTGGGCCTTCAACTGCACGCCTGTGTGTATGTGCGTGCAGGTTTTTGTGCGTGTGAGTGACAGTTCCTGTCCAATCAGGATTATCTCTTTGCACTGGAATGTATTGCTCGTCATTTTTGGTCCTCAGTTGGCCTCACCTGCGCGGCCGTTCAGAGATTATTGAAAGGAAGAGAATGTGTGTATGAGAGAGATTTGGCTAGTTTACACTTTAAACTAAATTCAGCAAGAGCATTTCTGGATTATTGTACTTGTCATAAACTAGCAAAGAACACACTCATCGCCAAATAAGGCCATCTCATTTCCCAGAGCCAGACATTATTGGCCTGTTGACATACAGTGCATTAGTCCTCCAGGGATGACAGATTGGAGACTCAGGCGTGGGTCTTGCGCCCTCAGGAGGGGTTTCTGTGTCCAGTCAGACATTGGATAACCAGATAGGGACACCTGGACCGGCAGGTGGCCGGGGTCCAGGCCCCTCCCCTGGGGCTGCATACCTCTCTCCTCCTGATCCTCCCTGTCAGCCCGGACCACAGAGTGAGAGAGGAATGCAAGGTTTAAAAAAAAAGAAAGAAAAAAGGGGGGAATAGTGAAGGAGAAAGTTCTGACAGAGAGTTGGAGAAGCTAATAATTTTTTAGGCTTCAAGTAACACGCCTCTCCTCAGTTTATATGTGTATCATAAATATAATCGGGCTTTCAGTCTTTGTCCTAACAGTCTAATAGTGATAATCCAAAGTCTTAAACCAGTTGAGTTGATTTGCTCCACTACTTGAAGTAAAAGTTAAGAAGCTCTTGATTGGATAATGAAGTTACACAAACCATGTCCTCACTCTCTCTCACTCTCTCTCACACACACACACACACACACACACACACACACACACACACACACACACACACACACAGATGCATTGTGAGTGAGCTGTTAGATCATTGATCAACTCCAGACTCGTGTAAGAAAGCTGCGTGTGTGTGTGTGTGTGTGTGTGTGTGTGTAGACAAATAGCCCTGTGTGTGCAAAGCAGATATTTGGACAAAGATTAGAGGGGTGTTATTACGAGCCAAAAGAAACCCAGACACTCGAGTAGATCATTCACACACAGGCATGAGGTGCACTCTGACTGGGACTGCTCAATTTAAGCCTCCATCAGTCACGTCACCCCCCCCCCCCCCCCCCCCCCTTTCTTTGGCTCTATCACACGCACATTTTTTATTATTATCTCATTGTCCTAAGATTTTATTTGTTTAATCTGAGTTTACAAGTAGGGTATTGTGCACAGACTATACAACCTGAAGTCCTCATACATTTCCATCCTTTCACACGCTGTAATATTAACTGCGTTCTGTGTTCCTGTCTCAAGCATGTGTGAACGTAACAATAAAAGCACCACAAAGACAAAAACGTCAAGGAATCTGGGTTGTGTTCCAGGGCTTTAACCAATAATCAGATTTAAAGTGTTGCCCTAGAGAGAGAAAAAAAAAAGTCATCATTGAAGAATGTCAAACTGGCAGGAGAAGACATGATTCAACAGAATAAATCACTGGGCACCAGATTAGTTAGTTAGTTGGCCCCCGAGGTTATCACAGATGGAATTTTCCATTGACACTGCTCCTCTGTCTTCTGTCCAAATCGCTTGTGTGTGTGTGTGTGTGTGTGAAGTTTTTTATTTAATGACATTTTAGAGTTCTCTCCCGTAGGATAATGCACATCCGTGGCTCTGAGTGACAGGACAAATGGTAGCTCTGCTTTACCACATCTCTCTCTCTCTCTCTCTCACACACACA